GGAGGAGCTACTCAACTACAAGCCACTTCCTAAGTGTACGTGTGATGCGTCTGAGAAGATCGTCGCAGATTATGAAGAAGAGAAGGTGCATACGTTTCTGATGGGACTTGACGATGCGCGCTTTGGCAACGTGTGCACTCACATCATCGGAATGGATCCTCTACCCGATCTCGACTCAGTGTATCAGAGAGTGGTAAGGGAAGAGAGACGACTTGAGTCTTCGCGTGTTGAAACATCAAATCAAGATGCTGTCGGCTTTGTGTCAAAAACTGAAGCTGGTGAAAACATAACGATGAGTGGTCTGATTGCAGCAGTGGCTCGCAGTCGTAGAGGATCTGTGATCTGCTCTCACTGTGGAAGATCTGGTCATGACAAGAAGGATTGTTGGCAAATTGTCGGCTTTCCGGACTGGTGGACAGAGCGCAAACAAGGAAGTGATCGTGGTGGTGGTGGTCGTGGCAAAGGAAGAGGAAGAGGTCGCATTCAGCATCCTCGCTCTAATGTGGCTCAAGCCGCGACAAGGTCAGAAGTTCCCGGTCTTTCACCGGAGCAGTGTTGATGTCTCTTCTCGAGCATTAGAAGCCAACACCTATTCCAGACAAAATGAATGGTAAGCGTCAAACGGGTGAGGTGATTCTGGACACCAGAGCATCTCACCATATGACCGGTGATCTGGGTTTGCTCACCGATACAGTGGACATAGTCTATTGCCATGTTAGCTTCGCCGATGGTAGCCAAGAAAAGGCATTTTTAGAGCGGTTTATTACGTCTATCAGACAAGCTTACTTTGAGAAATGTTTTGTTTGTTCCTAACTTGAACTGCACGTTACTGTCGGTTGCTAAACTACTCAAGCAGACTGGTTGTTTGGCTGTGTTCACTGACACTCTTTGTGTGTTGCAGGACCGTTTTACGAGGACCCTGATTTGAGCCGGTGAAGAACGAGGTGGAGTTTATGTTTATCGGGATGTTACTTTGGCGCGAGGTCTTAGAGTTAAGTCGGGTGAATACAAGACTTTGTGGCATCGAAGATTGGGACATCCTGCCTTTGGTGTTTTAGGACATTTACCTTTTGTTTATGGTGTTTTAGACAATAAGGAGAAATTTGGTGGATGTGACATCTGTTTCAAGTCCAAACAAACTCGTGGTGTATTTTCTGAAAGTTACAATAAAGCTTCTGTTGCATTTGAATTAATACATGTTAATCTTTGGGGTCCTTACAGAGTGCCATCTTCATGCGGTGCTGTGTACTTCCTTACGATCGTTGACGACTTGTCCAGAGCTGTCTGGATACATCTACTTCTTGAGAAATCAGAGGTTAAGACGATCTTACCAAACTTCTGCGCCTTCGTTGAGAGACAGTTTGGGAACTCGGTTCAAAAGGTTAGGAGTGATAATGGGACTGAGTTCATGTGTCTGTCGAAGTACTTCTTGGACAATGGCATTGTCCACCAAACGTCGTGTGTGTCTACTCTACAGCAGAATGGTAGGGTCGAACGTAAGCACCGTCACATACTGAATGTCTCGAGATCACTGATGTTTCAAGCCAGCCTTCCCATCAAATTCTGGGGAGAGTGCGTTCTTGCAGCAGACATGTAATCAACAGAACGCCATCTAGCTTGCTACATGAAAAAACACCGTACGAGTGCATGTATGGAAAGGCTGCATCGTATGACGATATCAAAGTCTTTGGGTGTTTGTGTTTTGCTCATAAGAATTCTCTTGACAAGGACAAATTCAAAGACAGAAGCAGAAAGTGTGTCTTCGTGGGATATCCATTTGGGAAACGAGGCTGGAGACTGTATGACTTGGAGAGTCATGAGTTCTTTACATCGCGTGATGTAGTGTTTAATGAGTGTTCATTTCCTTTCGAGATGGATGCAAACGTTGTAACTTTGTCAGTCTACGAGCTCCCGGTTATGGAGTTGAGGGGAAGTGATGATCTTCCGGTTGAGGAGTTAGGAAGGAGCGATGAAGAGGTTGCAGCTTCTGGGGAATCAGTGACTGAGACAGATGTTGTGACACCGGTTGATGATGTTGAGAGTAATATGATTGCGCAAGAGGAGCAGCTAGAGAGATGAAATCGCATCTCAAAGCCCTCTGTCAAGCTCAGAGATTATGTTACTTACAACGCTCAGTGTCTTGATAAACATAACACCACTCTCGTTCCACCATCAATCGCTCCATCAAGGTCCTCAACGGTCCAAGGTATGTCGTCTTATCCCATTTCTGCTTATGTCACCGATGCAGTGTTCTCTGAGAAACATCAAGTGTTCCTTGCAGCCATATCTTCAGAGAAAGAGCCGCAGAATTTCAAAGAAGCTATGTTAGACCCACGGTTTAGAGAAGCGATGGCAACAGAAGTAGTGGCTCTTGAAGAACAAAGGACATGGGATGTGACGAGCTTGCCTGGCATGTATGTGGATCTATAAGTACAAGTTCAATGCTGATAGAACAGTGGAAAGACCCAAAGAAAGACTAGTGGTGTTTGGAAACAGACAAGTAGAAGGAGAAGATTACGACGAGACATTTGCGCCGGTGGCAAAATTAACTACAGTGAGAACATTGTTGGAAGTTGCGGCTGCCAAGAACTGGGAAGTTCACCAGATGGATGTACACAACGCATTCTTGCACGGAGAGTTGGAGGAGGAAGTGTACATGAAAATGTCTCCTGGGTTTCAGACGGCAGGAGAAGGGAAGGTGTGTCGCCTGAGAAAGTCACTGTACGGACTGAAACAGGCTCCGCGATGCTGGTTCGCGAAGCTGACGAATGCGTTGAAGAAGTTTGGTTTTAAGCAGTCCTACTCTGACTACTCACCCTTCACTTACATCAAGGGTGACAAATCGCTGAGAGTTCTAGTTTATGTGGACGACTTAATCATTGCCGGCAATGACTTGAAGATGGTAGTAAAGTTCAAAGAGTACTTGAACAATTGCTTCAAGATGAAAGACTTAGGAAAAGCTAAGTATTTTCTTGGTATTGAGATCGCAAGAGGACTACAAGGGATGTTCTTGACTCAGAGGAAGTATACGTTAGACATTGTGGCTGAAACATGCTTGCTTGGATGTAAACCTGTGTCGACGCCATGGAACAGAACCATAAGCTTCTGTCAGACAAGGGACCATTTTATAAGAATCCAGAGCGGTTTCGACGGTTCGTCGGTAAACTTGTTTATCTTACCATTACAAGGCCAGAGTTGAGTTATGCAGTACACGTACTCTCACAGGTGATGCAACATCCACGAGAAGCCCATTGGGATGCAATAGTTCGAGTAATGCGGTATCTAAAAGGGTGTCCTGGACAAGGCATTATGCTGAGAGCTGTAAGTGATCTACGTCTTCGTGTGTTCTGTGATGCAGATTGGGCGGCTTACCCAAAGTCTCGACGCTCTCTGTCCTCTTTCATCGTGCTGTTAGGTAACTCTCCTATCTCCTGGAAGACAAAGAAACAGGATACGGTCTCTCACTCCTCAGCTGAAGCAGAGTACAGGTCCATGGCGGTGGCACTACGTGAGCTTAAGTGGCTCAAGCGACTTCTGAAAGATTTTGGGGTTGAACACTCTGCACCTATGGAGATGTTCTGTGACAGCAAGTCAGCATTGTATATCGCAGCCAACCCTGTGTTCCATGAGCGAACCAAACACATCGAGGCTGACTGTCACAGTGTTAAAGATGCGGTTCAAGACAAGAGTATTGTGACACGGCATGTGCGTACGACGGAGCAACTAGCAGACATCATGAATAAGGCTTTGGAGGCGCCTGCGTTTCAGTATCCGCTGTCCAAGTTGGGTGTTCGAAACCTCCATGCACCAACTTGAGGGGGAGTGTTAGCCGATGGTTACATCGGTTTATGGTTACATCGGTATGTCCGGTTACATCGGTTTATGGTTACATCGAGACTTGGGGAGTAAGTTGCATCGGAGATATTGTGATATTGTGATATTAATGAGTAAATGTTGATAAGGAAAAATCTAATATGTTGTGATCTCATTGTAATAAGTATATATGTAATCTCTACATCATATATATAACTCAGAACATTCTCAACTTCTTCATAATCTAGTTTACACCGAACACAAATCACGGCATGTTACATGTTCTTTTAAAGAATCAATCAACTCCTGCGATTTCCGATAATGGTTTAAGGCTTTAAGCTCTTGTAATATCTTGCAGGCACAATTATACCGGCTATGAATCCAAATTCGCGTTACTAATTTTTTCAATGATCAACTGAAAAAAAAAAACCTTTTGAATGATCAAGTGTTATACAAATATCAATAAATTAATACACATAAAGAAACGAACTGTTCTATAAAATACATCATCCAGTATGTACGTGGGTCGATCGGTATTCAACCAAACATATGCAGTATGTACGTGGGTCGATTACTATTCAACCAAACATACATTTTAAGACTATAGTAGTTTAAAGCTTTCATGTACTATTTGGTGCAAAGATTTGATTGGACAGAAAATAATGGGATAATTTGGAAAAGCATATAAAGAAATCTTGAAATAGGTGTCAGTCAGTCTCCACTCCCACGGTGCTACCTTCCTTATAATATGACGAATATTCGTTTTCCAGCTACATGAAGTAGTCATTATACATATTTAAACAATTGATGATACTTTTGTCCATAGACCAGAGCCACTATTAAAAGTTATAATTCGTTGACATAAAAAAGCTCTTTTAATTTTATTTTCTTTATAATTTTCCGTAACCAGAGGCTTTAGAGTTCATTAAGCGAAAAATCATTAAATTTGTTTTAGAACGAGTGAAGTGATAAAATACTTTTATCATTCTGTATATACTGTATATAGGTTACATATAAAAGTTGTAAAGCAAATCCCAAATTTTAAGGTATAGTCCACGTTATAAATACACACTTATCTCTTCTACTTCCTTTCATATTCGTCCAATCCTCTATCTCTCTTACACACACACACACACACAGTTTCTGATTCACTATAAATTTTTTTTGTTTTGTTTAGCTCTCATAACATGTCAGTAATTGTTGGCCAAGCTTACGACCATCTTCTGAAAAGGCAGATCAGCCAAAACGCTGACATGGGTGGATGGAGTTGCTTGCAATCTCTTTGTGAAACCAAAGGCATTGTCCCAAACAGAGAAGACCACACAAAGACAACAGCTTACGTCCACCCAGTTGATCAGAAGCTGTCCGTAGCTAAACTGAGTCTTGAGATGTGCACAGAGAGTCTCGGGACCGAGAGTGGGAGTGAAACTGGAGACGCGTTCTCGTTGCTTGCGATGGAAGCAACCAATATACCAATGCTTCCTCTTGACGTGAACCCTCGAGAAGAAACTTACCCTAAAGTACGTGAAAACAGTTTTCCACCGCCGTTAAAATCCGTGAAGGGTTTTGACCATAGCCGTATTGTGAAGTCGTATACAGAAGATGGCCGTCTTGTAGTTCAAGCAATTAGGGTTTTTTCACCACCTCGTTGCTTTGTATCTGAACGTTGTGAAGGAAGGCTTCGTCTTTGTTTGTCGGAGAGTTCTTCTGTGAGCCACGATGGAGATGAAGAGCTTGAAGAAAATGAATCTGAATTCGAAATGCGTGACGAAGGTGAAGATGAAGAGAACGGACAAGAAGACGACGCAGATGAAGAAGTAGAAGAGGAGGAAGAGGGTAAAAGTGGAAATAACAAATTTAGAAGGCCAAGAATGAGATGCAGTGAAAATGGATGTGAGCCTAAAACCTGGAAGCAGCAACAATTTTGGGTGACTACATGATGGGAAAAACAAGTCAGCAATTTTTATATATAATACAATAAGAGAATCAATAATTACGTATGTCCGTCTGATTTAGTATGGGCTTATGAGTGTTTTCTACATCCCATTGTTTTACTAGCCATGGCTTCCAATTCTACATTGATACTATAAATTTCTCATTTTAAAAATTATATTTCTCATTTGTTTTTAACTTTTAAGTTGTTTTGTATATCATAACTCATAACCTTTTGATTATTACGAACATGTTTAGTACAAGGTTATGCCAAGATTCGGAGTCACACTAACACATAACTACAAAAGTAAATAATACTGTTGATAATCTTATAAAATATTAATTCGTTCAACCTTTTTTTGAATTATACAAAGATATACTGATTCTACAGAAGTGGTCTACATTATTCATATGGTTCCACATGTCGGTCTCATGTCTTTAGTGATGCTGAAAATTAATTTTTCAGTGACCGGAATTTAAACTATGATGTTTTCATCGTATTAGATTTTTTTTCTTTAAGTTAATCACCACCAAACACAAGCTACAAGCTCTGCTTTCGTTTAACAGAGCCTAATACGATTCCAATTTAATAAAATACAAGAAATGAGGATTGATCTTTAAATCCATGAAGTGATAGGCAAAGCAAAACTTAACTAACTAAAACATATATAATCATGAAACCTATTTAAATTATATAAAACTGATCATTTGCCTAGGCAACTTCTCATACAGTTTTCTGTGAATAAAAATAATAACAATAACAAAAAGAAGAAAAAGAGTACGAGCATTTTCAGTGAGAGACAGTGAGAGTCAACCAAGTTTTAGAGACTACAATTACCTTTCTCATGTTTTCTTTGAAACTTTGATAATTACCTTTGCCATGTTGTGAAATGCATAATACCAATTTAAAACATCGTTAATAACTTCATATATATATACGTGTTACTTAATGAGTAACCAACGTTTATATATTATCATCAAAAACATTGTTTAGGAGTTTTATTTTTGTTTCAAAAGAATATCATTTTATATTTTCAATACATAATTTTAAATTAAAATCAAGTTTTAACTTCATTTTTTATGTATTAATTAGAAAGAGAAAAATATTTAGTATATAAGTAAGGAATATATAAGAGTTTTTAAATAATTTTTAATATTCGTGAAAAACTATCAAATGACACTATTCATAAAATAGAGAGATTATTGTACTCTTAATGGATAATGATGTTCTCACTTTATTTAAACTAAATATGAGTAGAATAATCCAACACTTTACCAATTAAATTTTCAGTGAAATTATAATAATAATCAAACCAACAATAATGATAGTTTATTTCGACCCTGGTTAAATACTTCAAATTTAAAATAACAATTTTCAAAATATTTTTGAATTAAAAAACACAATTTAAAAAAAAAATTTGATGTAAAATTCAAAAAAAAATTAAAAAAAAATTGAATTCCAAAATATATATTTCTAAAACGATAAGGTTAATGCAGAAGAGTCTTTTTCTTATTTAATAAAATATTTTTTGATAATTTTTCTTTAATATGTTCTTTTTTTTTTGTAAAAACTCATTTTAGTCATTTACAAATAATGACTTTAAGTATTTTGAAAATTTATATTTACTGAAGGTAAATATGAAATATTGGTATAAAAAATGAGGTAAATCAGAATTCCCCCAAACTATAACCATACTAAAACGAAAGATCAATCAAACTCACCAAAACCTATCTATCCACCTTATCATAAAACAACTTTAAAGTTCAACCTAAACCAGTAAAAAAGTTAGTCACCCATATGACTAAAACAATATGTTAACTAAATAAGTATTTACTAGGTGTTTGTCCATGAATTCGTGAATACAAATAGTTCTAAAATTTTAATATAATATAATCATGTTTATGCTATTGGCATACTATAATTTTATTAAAATTGATGTCAATTTATTTTTTAGATATTTTTTTAAAAATAATCTGCTTTCATATATTTTATACTTACGATTTTAAAAAGGTTATAACTTTTAGTGTTTTTTATGTTTTTATCAACAAAAAAATAAACAGTTAAAAGATGCTCTAATTATTCTTTTTAGATTCTGATCAAATTTATATTTTACGTAGTGTTCAAACTTTTGATTTCTAAATATCAGTCAACTAATAACATGACATACACACATCTTTATAATATTTTCTAAAATAATAGTACATGACTACAAAAATATTATTTGCTAAAAATAATATGTACATGTTCATAATTGCTGAAATCCTAAAATAAGTATTTCGGCTAATATGGGCTCAAGTCATTTATATGGAAAGTTGTGTTAGTTTTACACCATTGAAAGATTCAATTTCTATGTAATGTATACCTTAACTCTCTAGTGATAATTTTCATTGTAAATAAAAAGTATATGAATTTATTTTAATTTTGTAACGTAAACAGATATAAAAAGTTTCAGTTATACAAATTTGAATTATTTCTTAAACTATGTTTGAGTATATTGAGTTTTAAATTTGAGTACATTATTAATTGTAAGTATCTTTGGTCCATGCTAGTAATGGCTCACTAAATTTCCTGCAAGATAGGGTCATGTAATCTCACGACTACATTTTAATATTGAGCCCACTGGGGTACGAATAAGATCATAAACGAATAAATCTAAAGTAAAATCTAATACCTGTTGAAATAAAGATGAGAATAACTAGAAGAAATGAGTTAGTCCATAATCAAAGACAAGTGTATCAAGAAAAATTAATTTTGAGCTTATTTGTACAATTTTACTCCACAAGCAACCATCTTTATCTAAAATAAATTCTAAGGCAATAAAGGAGTTTAGGAGACTGAATATGGACGTCATGAACCTTTGAAAAATTAAGAAAACCTGTTTGAATTTAAATAATAGTTTGAATCAGTCTCTAATTTCTGATCTCTCCTTTGCTTGTGTCTAACCAATATTCATAAATTAAGGAGTTAAACATTGTGGTTTAGAGGCTACCTTAACTATATCTCTCTTAAGGCAATCTACTACCTGTAAGACTCACTCTAAACTCTTCTTTATCTTCTTTTTTAAACTTAAGCTTACTGATTCTAATTCCTTTTCATCTTAAGTATACAAACTCAAAGTGTTGTGTTACTTTAGAAGGAGAGATTCAAACTAGAGATTCTCAGCTTCCTATAAACAGTTTACTCTCTAGGATCTTGGTTATATTGTAAGTTGTGTGTGTGTCTGAGGATTCAACCACAAGTTGGTTGTCTCTGATCTTGAATGGTGAGTTCTTGTTGTATGCTTGAAGATGATTCAGTTAGAAGTTAACTGAATACTCACTTGACATGAGAAAAACATTCATGAATTCCAACATGGTATCAAAGCCAGATTGCTATTCTTTGGGATCAAACTCTCCTCTTTTCTCTCTGTTTTTGAATAAATTCTTTCTCTCTCACTTTGATATAGTGTTAGCGTGGTCGGTACTTTTTAGTATCTTGAATCAAGCTTGAGGAAGAGAAAGATTTCAAAAATGCTTCACCGTTATGCTTTACCCATTGGATAATAGTTTTCTTTTAATGGAGCATCTCTATGATTAGTGGACAAACTATTTTGAACCACTGGTTTCTTTGTTGTCTAAACCACAGAAAACACTTGTTCATGTGTTATTCTGATTGTTCCCCTGTTGAAATCTCAGGGAAACACCAGTTCATGGGTTATTTTAGTGGCAAGTGTCTATGATCAGTGCATTAATTGATTTTCCAATGGTCCATTGTGTTTCAGCTATTAAAGCACCAAACTCTTGTTGAGTATTGAATGCTCTTGGCTGTTAAAGCTTCCGCAAAACTCAAGAAAACATAGCAAAACTCTGTCCATTAGAACTCTTGAGCAAATCTTTATTCTTTATTCACTATTCAATCATTCTCTGATTCTCAAGTTACTTATTCTCTATCATTCTCCCATTCTCTGACTACTAATACTCTGGTTACATCATTTTCTACTCTCTACTTATTCTCTGGTTACTTAAATCCTTTTTAGAATCTGTCTAAGGTTATTAATCTTCCTTGAAGTTAAGAAAAATTGATTGTGTTATTTCCTGAATGCTTAGTCTGGTTTATTAGAATTCAGGGATTGTTGCTAGGATAGAATCATAAATATGTCCATTGCTTGTGTGAAATGTGTTTTAAATATCAGATTTGGTAAAAACCCATGATCTGATCTCTTCTTCTCTACTGATGCTTGTCTTAGTGTTGATTGACAGGTTGCCCATGTTTATCAGAACCTGCACAAGATACATATTCCTGACCATGGAGACTTGCACATGTTGTTCAGAGCCTACATATGGTGTATATTCCTGACCATCGAGAGATTTCTTAGAAGTGACTTACCTGATGCCAATGGGGTGGACAAGAAGTATAGTCAAGAGAAAAGGCCATAATTCAAGCCAAGAGGGATGTGATCTCAATGCATTGGTGATTATAATTGTCTCTCAACTTTCAAGCTTGAACACATACTCTCATTCTCAGGTCAAGCTTAAGGAGGGGTGTGATAACCCGTCTTTCGAGATAAAATGGTCGAGATCGACAAAGTTAGAATTTGGAGCCGAACTTTTAGGAATCAAAGATGATGAGAAATATTGAGTTTTGGTCACATAAAACTTGACATGGATCGGAGAAAAATGGAAGATTGGTCGATCATCTATTTGGTGGTCGAATCACGGGCAATAAGAATTGATCAAGAGTTTCAAAGTTCGAGGAGGTCAAAGAATGGATCGTGGGTGAACCATGAGACGAAATAAACTGCTCGGCCATGTTAGACATTATCTTAGATTGGCCAGACAGACGTTTTGGAAGCATAATATTTTTGGAAGCACGATGTTTTAGAAACATGACGTTTCCGAAACTCGAAGTTTCTTAANGGGCAATAAGAATTGATCAAGAGTTTCAAAGTTCGAGGAGGTCAAAGAATGGATCGTGGGTGAACCATGAGACGAAATAAACTGCTCGGCCATGTTAGACATTATCTTAGAT